GGCTTTTTTCTTTTTGCTTATGTGGTGCTGAGGAATCAAACCCAGGGCCTCAGGCATGCAAGGCAAGCGCTCTATCACTGAGCCACCTTCCCAGCCCAGTCTTTACATATTTTGACTATCTGCTCATAAATGAGATTTTTTGTTTGCCTGTTTGTCAGGCGTGGGGGTTGAACTTGGCCTGGGCGCTGTCCCTCAGCTCTTCAGCTCAAGGCGAACATGCTACCGCTTGAGCCACAGCACCACTTCTGGTTTTCTAGTGGTTTATTGGAGATAAGAGTCTCATGGACTTTCCTATCCGGGCTGGCTTTGTGCCGTGATCCTCAGATCTCAGCCTCCTTAGTAGCTAGGATTACAGGCGTGAGCCACCAGTGCCCAGCTCAATATGAGATGATTTTATGTAATTTTTCATATACTGGAGTTTGTTCAATCTAAACAATAATAGTTGACAGATAAAGATGGATGGTATCTCATAAAACGAGTTAGCAGATGTTCTTGCACAGGACTTTTGTTTTGGTGGTACTGGGTTTGAATTCAGTGCATCCCACTGATACAGGAGAGCACTAAACCACTTGAGACATGCCCTAACCATTGGCTCTGAATTTTGAAGATGCTCCATTATCCTCTGATGTCCTCATTGCTGAAGAAAATCTGCTTTTAGTCTGAATGTTACGCCTCTCCCTTTGGTATTTGTTAAGATTTTTCTCTTTATATAATTGTTATTTTTACATTTCACATAAGTCTTCTGTTTGGCTCCTGTTCTGGCTTGTAAATTCTCGTTTCCCTACGGACTTAGTTTCGTTTCAGCCTGTAGGGGATCCCTAGCGGCCTGTGCTACGGGGTGCTCCTGTGGGGGGGCTGTGCTGCTCTGGGCTGGGGCCTCGTGGGCTACCATAACATTCAACCAGTTTCTCAGTGACTTTCTCACGTTAGGGAGTCTGTATAGGATGCGTGGTGTGACTTCAATGTGGACAGGAATTCATATTTCTGATGTGCACAAGTCTGGGCAAGTGGGCCATTTCCTGGTAGTTCCCATCTCATACAGAACAGAGACCTGGGGTTCTTGCTTTATACATGAGCATGAGGGCCAGTCCTAAACCTGCATCCAACTCTCTGGGTCATTTGCTGTGCTTTCTGTCTCTTCACTGAATGTTTTCTCCCTATTCTTGTATCTGAAATCTTTCTTTTGAAGTTAAATACTTGTAGGTAAGGTGGTATGATGCGGGTGGAAGTTGGGGCTTCCGTTTTATCTGGCATTTCTGGATTTAAGGTGAAAGCAAGGTCTTATGAGGCAGCTCAGACTTCCCCCGTGGACCAGCTGAAGTCCTGAGGATGTGTTTATAGGCTCCTTCCCCTTCCCACCTCACCCTTACCAGCCTACCAACTACCCAGTGCCATGTGGCCATGGCTTTCTTACTCTTGTCTCCCCTCCCCACCTGGCTCTGTTGCTCCTGGACTTAGACAAGGCCACTGTGTCCAATTCCTTTGTCGGGAGGATCTGGCTCAGGGCCGGAGGGCTTACATGTTCTCCCTCTCCTAGGCTCGGGGCCCTCAGTTCCTGCCCCTGACCTCCTGATGCAGATCAAGCAGGAGGGGGAGCTTCAGCTGCAGGAGCAGCAGGCGCTGGGCGTGGAGGCCTGGGCAGCCGGGCAGCCAGATATCGGGGAGGAGCCCTGGGGCCTCAGCCAGCTGGACTCGGGGGCAGGAGACATCTCCACGGATGCTACCTCTGGTGAGTGGTGGGGCCAGGATGGGGAAGCAGACACTGGAATGAGTTATAGGGACTAAGGACAAGGACAGGAAGACTTCTAGGAGCATGTGTGAAGCTATGAGCTCTCAGAACACTGGCCTGGATAGCCCAGAAGTCCCATTGTAATGTAAGGGCTTACCAAAAATCTTGTGATCTTTGCCTGTTTCTTGTGGGTTCCCTTACACAACAGATCAGAAGCCCCCTCTCCAACCATGCCCCTTCGCTTCTCCCCAGCCTCAGACCCGGATATAACTAGCTGCCTCTCAGGTTTGTGTGACTAAGTCAGTGATGCCTGATTTTCTCCAAGCTTGAAAGAAGAGATTGATGACACTGGCTTCAGAGAGGACAACATCCTGTAATTTTCTTTTACTCCTCCTTTCTTCCCCCTAACCCACCAGTTCTGGTCTTCCTTCCTTCTAGGTGTCCATTCCAACTTTGCAACCACTATCCCACCCACTTCCTGGCAGGCAGACCTCCCTCCCCACCACCCTTCTTCAGCATGCTCAGACGGGACACTGAAGCTCAGCACCGCAGCCTCCACAGAAGGTATCCATGGCAGGGGAGGGCTGCTGGTATCTGGCCTTAGAAGCTTCATGTTTATTGGTGAACTTCCTGACACCTCAGCCAGGAAGGGTTTGGGTATCTATGACTTTCTGTATGTGTATGTGGGGTGGGGGGAGGGGGGTTTGTTTTGTGGACATGTCTCTAGTCATTTTTGTGCTGGCTATTTTTTGAGATACGGTCTTCTTGCCGAGGCAGGTGCCAGGGCTGAGATCTACCTGTTTTACACTTTCCATTGTAGCTTGGGTAACATGCAGGTGGCATCACACCCAGCTTTCAGAGGAGGAGGGAACTTGTGATCTTATCTGTCCAGGCTGGCCTCCAGAATAGCTAGAATTAAAGGTATGAGCCACCTAGTGGATTTTTTTTAATTGCTATTATAAAGGTGAGAGAGTACAGTTACGTAAGTCAGGTAAAGAGTGCATTTTGGACAGTCTCACCCCTTCCGTTGATCTCTCCCAGTTTCTCCATCCCATCCCTACCCATAGGTTGTATAGTTCATTTTCAACATAGTGTCCAGTAAGTACCATTGCTGCATATGTTCGCCATTTGTCCCTCCATTTCTGTGCCTCCTGCAACCTTTCTTAATGATGCCCAAGTGCTTCAAAGAAAAAGGCAAAGGAACTGGGCACCAGTGGCTCACTCCTGTACTCCTGTAATCTTCAGGAGTCTGAGACCTCTGAGGGTCACAGTTTGCAGCCAGCCTGGGCAGAAAAGTCTGTGAGATTCTCATCTCTACTTAACTACCAAGTCCGAAGTGGAGCAGTGGCTCAAGTGGTATAGTGGTAGCCATGAGGGGGGAGAAAAAAGAGTTCATGGACAGTGCCCAGGCCCTGAGTTTAAGCCTCAGGATCAGCAGAAAGAAAAAGAGAGAAAGAAAAGAGGAAGAGATCAAGATAGCTTCAGAGTCTGGTTTTCAAGTCATTCGAAAGAGACCCAGTTACTTTCAGACCCTCCCTTTTCACATGGTTTAGCCAGTAGATTGTGATGAGCTGATTCCTTAAAGGACAGATGGACCTCCTCCCCTGACATGGGCACCCCCAAAGCTCCTCTGGCGTGTTTGAAAAAAAAATCCAGGGCTGGGAAGGT